GCCACAATCTCTTCCACTTCGTCCCTACTCCCTCTTCCTTTGCATCCGCACCCTCCTCTTCTGACACCGCTGCCGTACCTCTCCGGCCGCCGCATAGGCGTTGTCTGACGTCCTAGCCCCCACTCACGCGCCCACTCGCTTGTACTATAGCGCCGTCCACCTATGATCCATACGTAACCAAATATGCTCCGCCCCCTGTCGACGCCGTCCATGGCGGACACCACGCCTGACAGGTGTTCGGTCCAATGCCATTGAGCTTATTTTCGAACTTCATGTCGTTATGAGAGTACAAAGGATGTCGGTGTACTCGGTGAAGGAGGATGAGTTGTTTTGCGATGCATGGACAGCCGTATCGACTGACTTCGTAGGCAGAAGCAGAAGGGGGGTGGCACCTCATCCATGGTTCATTCCATGCGCAAAAGCGCATTGCGCCCTATAACATGCACATCATCTATGAATGCAATGCAAATCCGTTAGCGTATTGATGGTACATCATCTAGAACTCCGTCACAAAGTTTGTGTGGCACTGTTGATCTGCTGGAGGCAATGTGGCCATTGCGCGCGGTAACCATGAAGATCGTAAGTTTTCCTTCTTATTGCTCTACATGTTGATTGATCCATTCATTCACTCAATGTTGTCACCGCTGCCACGATGTACTACAGGTCAGAGGGCTGGTGGCGGAGCTTGCATCAAAAATTGGGCTAGCCAAACTGTAGGAGATTGCTCATTGTCAACTTTTCTGGGTCCATAGGCTAGCTGTAATAGGTGCAAGTGCTACAAAGCCGGGCGAGACATGGCCCAGTTAACTTGTTGTAGCTTTGGCACCGCAGAGTGTAGACCATTCACGAACATACATTGTTGGATGAAATCGAAGGGGCAGTGCATGTGAGACAACATGATCCATTCATAAAAAACTCGTCGAACAATCGATTAAGCTTATTGAATTCGAACTAATGTTGTACTAGATATTTGCATGCATTATGGATGATTTGTGCTATTTTTCATCCGAAATTTGATCAATTCCGTCGTGTTCGATGTAATTCGTACGATTAGTTAAAATCTGGTTTAAAATATATACGGTTACGGTGGGA